GGGAGTTGTGGTTGGGAGACGGGGGTTGTGTTCGGATAGATAGGCCGGTAAGTAATATATTGTACATATATATGTATATAGGTATGCATGTATATATGTATGTATATATATATATATATATTATTATATAATATATATAATATATATTACATATACATATATATATTATATATATATATATATATATATGTATATATATATATATATATATATATATATATATATATATATATATATATATACATATGTATATATATACTTATATATATGTATATGTCTATGTATATATACAATATATATAATATATATATATATATATATATATATATATATATATATATATATATATATATATATATATATATATATATATATCTATAGATACATACAGATAGATTACTATAGATAGTTACAGAGATAAGTATACAGGTAGTGATATAAAATCACAGATAAGTCTAGATATAGACTTAGACGAAGGAAAATATGTAGATATTGATATAAGCAGGTAACTATATAGCTACAGAAAGACAGGCTGATAATTATTTAAGAGATACAGGTAGGCATGTAAGTAGATTGATATAAATAGATAAGCATATAAATATATAGATATAGATAGACAAACAGATAAAGCCAGATAGGCAGATAGGAACGTAAATTTATATAGACAGGCCAGTGAGTATATAGATATATATGAATAAGGAAATGAAAATATACCTTTCTAGAAAAAATAGATAAATAGGTGGATAGATAAGCATATATAGTAGATATACGATAGATGACTATAAAATTGGACGGATAGATAAATTAATTGATGGAAAGAATAGATGGATCATGAGAATATACAGATAAATAGAACGAAAATAGAACGATTGACAGCGAAGTAGATATAGAGAGAAAGATAAGGGAAGTGACACATATTTTTTTTTTTTTTTTTTTTTTTTTTACTTTCTTTCCTACCTTTCTGCCAACATGTAGCCTTTAAGAATATATATAAGCAGAATATTCCAATAAATGACTGATTGATTGTTATTGTCAGAATAGCGATAGATAAGGACTATTTCATACTATTTTTGTATGTTTATTTACTTATCCATTCCTAGGTTAATTAAGTTAATTAAGGGGTGGTCCGTTGTTTACATTTCAGGTTTTTTCTCCCTTTTTGTAGATGAAAATTACTCTTACATATAAGAAAAAGTCAGAAATTATACCCATACCTAACTATAAAAGTAGTAAAAAAAACAAACCGGCGGGCTATCTATCACACGATAGTCTTCTATATCCTTTATCCAATCTCTTGCCAAGACCGAAGTACATTTACTACTTTTATAGTCAAGAGCCCTCTTTACAGGATTCCAGGGAGGCTATCCAGCACCTCGAAGACACTTTTGGTAAATACTCCAAGCCACTTCGCCGAGAGGTACTTGGATGGTCGTTCATTCATAAAAAAAAATATCTAACACGTGTTTCATTCACACTCTTTGTTTCGGGACTTCAGAGCTTCAAAAGAGAGAGAGAGAGAAAAAAAGAGAATTAGGTTGAGCGCGCAGCAAGCATGGGGCCAAGACAAGCTGTAGTAAATACACATATACACAGTACAGCTTTAACTGCCTTTTTCTTATCACCACGCAGGTTGGGCGAGAGGTCACAGGGGGTCAAAGGTCTTTTCGAGATTAATTTCATTTAGGCTTTCAAAGAAGCGAAGATAAAAAAAAAATTGTGTAATTTACCTCGAAGTTCTTTTCAAATTTTAGCTTCTGGAGTATTGTGTCTTGCATGGAAGCAGTAGAGCTTTTGTGAGACATTGCCTTGTTAAAGTCAGTGACACTAGAGGACCACATAATCAAAACAAAATTGATAAAATTTGAAGTGAATTTGGTAACAAAATGGCGCCCAGTCTATACTTATTGCCCGTGTTAGGAAAATAAAAATACGTCTAGATACCTGCTTAAATGTATTCATTTATCTATGTGTATTAAAGGTTTTATACATATACATGACACACTTAAATCTGTACACAAATGCGCTTCATTGATGTATTAACCTAACTGTTACAGTTGCTTGGTCTACCTTTTCAAATGAATGACTTCTTCCTTTTCACCAATGGCCGTCACGTGTATTCAGTCAACAGTAGTTAATATGCAGAGGTCGTCTTCAAGAATTTGTTCCGGATATCTCCCTCCAGCTGTTTTAGGGAGGACACAGCCTACAATTCACACTTTATTTCATTCGGTTAACACTTTATTTCATTCGGTTACAGTTCTTTTAATTTGTTTTGTAAAAGTTTATTTTCACTATGTCGGTATCCCTCTTCTTGCACTTCTATAGTTGTATTTCTGATTTTCTGGATTTTTTAATAGAAATCATAATGGTAATAATTACTATAACGGTTACTTAAATCTGACACCAACGCTGCTTCCTTGCAGACATACATCTTTTTAAAAAATTCGAATGAAATTCCTGGCCTAATTTTTCCATTGGATCTCAACACTTTTTGGTTTCTTCATCGGACAATTAAAATTATTTTACCAGCTTTTGAAATTTTGAGGGGAAACGGATCTAAACTTATTTATCTTTGGCCCCCGGTACCACTTCGTCCCTGCGTGGGCGAATGTGTTCATAATATTATTATTTTCTTTATTTTAAGCATTATTGTACGACACTCGTTTCCATATCTTTTGATTTTCATTTACTGTGCTCTTTCTTACAGAAATTTTTGAACCGCATATAAATCAGCTTCAAAGTTTCTTTGCATGTAAGTTTCCCCAAAATTGAGGATGGCTTGATAAAGGAAGAAAAAAAATAAAAACGTACCTGCTTTTTTCCTTCAGCTCTTCTCCTCAGCTTTATCACTTATGCTTCTGCAGAGGATATGGTAATGGAAATTATGAGCAGTGATTTGTCTATCTATTCGTTTGTCTATCGACATTGTCTCTCTGTCAACCTGTTGAACAAGAACAGGATTTTTTTTTATCATTGATGTGGAAAGATAAATAAAATCAGGAATGCTCATCATATTTCCATTTTCTCAATTTCCAGCTGTAAATTTTGCGCATCGCTCCTCTAAGAATCAAAATTTTTCGTAAGTTGTGCATGCTGGATTAATAAGCAATTTTTCCCCCCTAATCCTTCCCAATCCTTCTTACAAGCGAGCTGTTGCTATGAACAGGACTTCAATGGCTACATGTTCACCCTGCCATTACTCCTTTTAAGGTTAACGAATCCATAACAAATGAAAAAGTACGTTGAGATAGTTATAACGGTTACTCTTCGCCAAGGCTAAGGTAAAGACAGATCTAGAGAGAAAAGTCACAATATCTTTTCTTTGACTTTTCGCTTTTAGAATATGAGAAAATTGTTGCAATCATTTTTTCCTCATCAATTATTATAGCATTCACTCCTTAGAAAAAACATTTTTTACCCTCATGTTCTTTTTCTTCGAATGACAAGACAACCACCCGTTTGTCCAAGGGGAGCAACGACATCCCCGGTGGCAAGGAAAACATACAGAGGAAAAGAACAGGGAAAGAAAGCATTTTTTAAGAAATTATTCAGCAGTCCTTGCCTTTTTTCCCCCCACCAGGTGTCCCCGTCGGCTTTTTCGAAAGTAGCGACGGCGGGAGACACTTTATCTTCCTTTTCCTCCTCCAAGGCGGCTCTCTCGTCCTCCGAGATGACCTCCCTGGCCAAGGAAGACTCGACTATGACCGCTTCCACTCGGGTATGTCCTTAGGAAACCCGACCCTCGAGTGCGAAGGCTTAAAGAAACAAAGGGATAAAAAATAAACGAACTACAGGACGCATTCAAAACAGATATATTTTTTAGACCAGCACCTTCTGTATACGTAGCCCTCGTTTATAATCTTTTTCTGTCTTAATTTCTTTTGCTTTTTTCGTTTTTGTCCGTTTCTCGTTGGACTGCTACACCCTGTAGTCGACTTTATAGAAATTTACTGCTGACTTGAAATAGAAATTAGTGCATTTCGCTTCCGTCGTGGAATGTTGGGGCCATGAGATCTCTTTGTGCTTTCTTTATTCCCTGTCATTCCGTTATTCGCTTCTTTTCTTCTTTTCTTACCGGAAGAAAATACGTTCTTTATCGTCCCTGATCAATCTTTGTTCTTTATTTTTCTTTCTTTCTTTCTTTTACTTATTTTTATTTTTTTCCTTGTAACTGGCTTTTTCTTCTCTGCTTCTCTAGCTCTAGTTCTCTCTCTCTCTCTCTCTCTCTCTCTCTCTCTATATATATATATATATATATATATATATATATATATATATATATATCTGTCCTGTCTATTTTTCTCTCTTCTCACTCTCTCTCTCTCTCTCTCTCTCTCTCTCTCTCTCTCTCTGCCTCTTTATCTCTCTCTCTCTCCTCTTTATCTCTCTCTCTGCCTCTTTCTCTCTGTCTGCCTTCTATCTCTCTCTGCCTCTGTTTCTCTCTCCCTGTCTCTCTGTCTCTGTCTGTCTGTCTGTCTGTCTGTCTGTCTGTGTCTGTCTGTCTGTCTGTCTGTCTCTCTCTCTCCCTCTCTCTCTCTCTCTCTCTTTCTCTTTCTCTTTCTCTTTCTCTCGTTCTCTCGTTCTCTCGTTCTCTCGTTCTCTCGTTCTCTCGTTCTCTCTTTCTATCTATCTATCTATCTATCTCACTCTGTCTCTCTCTCACTCTTTTTCTGTCTCTTTCTCTCTCTGTCTGGCTTTCTATCTCTGTCTCTTTTTTCTCTCTGTCTGTCTGTCTGCCTCCTTCTCTCTTTCGATATATATATATATATATATATATATATATATATATATATATATATATATATATATATATATATTGTTAATTTTTAGATTATTTTTGGCTCATTGAGAGTATCTAATACATATTTAGATTTGATATGTATTATGTACTTGGAAGGATAGCAATATTTTTTGGGCTTCTGCAGATCTATAATTCTATGCGGATTCGATCGTGTATCTCAAAAATATATATTTTGAACATGAAATTTTAGTTATGGATTCCGTTTACCTTTCTATTGTTGTTCTATCCTGGTTATTTTTTTCTTTTTTTTCTTTTCTTATGTAGTGTGCCGAGTGCTGACGTGTTTTTCATACTAGGTGAACTTTCACGTTTCTAAAAAAAAAAAAGGAAAAATATATACTTCACCCTCTTTTTTTTCTTTTTTTCTAGTTTTGGCGCTTTCATTAACCACCAAACAAACAATCTAAAACTCCAAATTATTTTAAAATATTAACCTTAATCCCCCCTCCCCCTTTAAAAAAAAAAAAATACTTCTCCATTTTTTTTCTTATTTATTCCAGTCTATTAAAAGCATGTTACAAAGTTTTAAAAAAAAAGACAAACATCACTTTAGTTATTTTTCATTTTATTTCAGTCAGCTAACTATTATCTCTCGTGGGGTTACCTTGGCGGAAAAGCCGAACACCAATTGATATAAATACAGGCAACCATTGAAAGGTGAACCACTCTATTAATCAACTACCTCATTTCGTCTTCTTTTGCCACTTTTCTTCATCCTTCGTCTCTCCACTTTCGTTGCTCTTGGAATCTATTCTTAAGAAAATCTTTCTCCTTTTTTCTTTATTTTATGCTCTTCGTTTCGGTTTAAAATTCCGAGCAGTTAATTTCAGTTCGATAAATCACATGGTATTTAAAGTAAAGATAAATGTAAAAGAGCTAGTGAGACTGAATGAAAGAGGATTGGACTACAAGAAGATGAAAAAAACACACAGCAGATATCAAGCAAAAAAAAATAAAAGATATTGTATATTGTACAACATAAAAAATACAATCTTAGTTTTGCATGCCGGCAGCTTGCTTATTTTCCGTCTATCACAATTATCATTTCTTTCGCTTTATCTTGATCTTTTCTTCTTCATTTAAGTATAAATAAACACTAAAACTGACAAAAAAATAATACTGAACTGAAATATAGTGACATTTATCTATTTACATAGAAAATATTGAAATAAAACAAAATGGCGGAATCAGACTCTTTTTTTTTCGTCGTATGAAATTTAATATATTCTCAACGCTATTTTCAGGTGAGAAGGATGTTGAAGAAGGCCGCGGAAGATTTCTAAACACCTGACGGACATATCCTTCATCCCAAGACAAATATAAAAAAAGAAAAAGGCATATACTTTTTCCAATCCTGATCATAGCTATTCTACATAATCAAGTAGATAAGAAGACAAAGTTTTTTTGTTTTTTTGTTTTTTGTAATGGCGATATCTGGCTTCGACTGACTGCTGACGTCAAAGGCGTACTACGGGCAACATTTTTTTCTCTCTCTCAAAAAAAAAAAAAAGTTCTACGAAGTGAGTGACGAAGTGAAGAAGTCATCTTTTTCAAGAGACATCTTTTCTGCAACTTGGACGCGGCCGGAGACTAAGACTGCGACGAGATCTGGAACTTTGTTACTTCCGAAGATAAAGATGACTTGTCGGTTGTTGGCTCGGTTTCCCTTGACGCTGATTTCCGCTCGGGGATGGGGATGCAAAGCACTGATATGTCACCAGAAAAAAAGTAACTGGGTTTCAGATCTTGGTTTTATGTAAACGAATGTAACACAAGAGAAAATGGGCGTCATGTCCAAAAAAGGAGACTGTGTTGTGTCTTTGTTTACTTTTGTTGAGCATTTGAATTATTTTCTTTTTTTTGGATAGGATAAAAACATTTTTTTTCCATTCACGCTCTGCCATATACATTTTTGTGCATTTTGTATATAATATTGGCCCGTATTTTTTCATACATGGTTAATCAAAATGTAAATTATCACAAAAAGTGCTCTAACATGACACTACCAGGACATAAATCAGTTATCGACAACCAAAACACTTTAAAATTTATTTTTAGAAATTCTATTGTAATGCTCGTACTTTAAATAAATGATACACAAATTTTCTGAATTAATCGGATCCCTTTTTATCATAAATATAAAGATTTACACAAACCTCGTCTACCAGCATTTACATCATCCCTCTTTCTACTGGTCTTCTGGCATCTTCACTTTCACCCTCACTCTTCTCCTTCTCCTTCTTTCTCTCCTTTCTCTCTTTCTCCTCCTCTCTCTCAATCATATCCTCTACAAGATACACGTATAAAATCATATATAAACATAAAAAAGTAGATCCAAATTGTCTAGTAACACTAAAAACTGGAATCACTGATAAATATGAGCAGTTTTTCTATCACATGAAAATTAAACTAAATGATATATGAACTATGGGATAAAGAAAAGGGAAAAGAAAACAAACAAACAAATAATGTGTTATAAGAATACTGAAACCTGAAGTCTGGAAAAATCAAATCACTGAAATTACCTGTTAATGTGTATCAAGATCTTGACAAAGGCAACAATATTCCACATGGACTCAAATCCTTATCTTAGTTCCAGTCTTATGAAACGACCAGTAATCTTGGAAGCTACATTATAAATCTTCTTTCTTACCCACTTAATAACGTAGCCAAGATTGGTGCGTTTCTATTGACAAGGATATGAAAGAACATTTGTTTTGGTCAGAAAAACACATTATCTTTAATCAAAAATGATTTTATTCATACTTTTGCTTCCTACAAAAAATAAGACAAAATTTCTCTGAATACTGATTAAAAACATACTTCTCTGTTTTATCATTACTAAAATTCAGAGTGAAATTAAAATGTCATTTTGTTAATGAGTATTATCTATGTCAATATAGTCAGTATATACTATCTCTAAATAAATCTTCAGATCCTAAATTTACATGATACAGGATTTTTTTTATTTCTCTAATCCATTGTATTTTCTGCAACTAAGAAGCATGTAAAAACTGTGAATGAAAGAAATATTAATTTCCCATTTCATGTATATTAAAATGCAATATTTATTACCTTACTTTATAATACTAGCTTTATAGAATCTCTGGTGACCCTGTTGACAAACAAAAATGTTTACATGGAATATATCTTTACGTATTTCCTGTCATGTGAATACCCTCTGAGCATACTGTCATATAGCAGACAAATGCTATAAAAAGGGAGAAAATCACTGTTAAATATCACAGTGCACGCTATGTATTAATACAACCTCTGAAGTATGACTAAATCTATGCCTCCTCCATGAAACTTTCTCAAAAGACAACTTATATGTCCATTATATTTAATGAAAGACTTTCTATGAGCCTTCCTCACCTTGACCTCATCGTATGGAAAAAATCAATTGTCTTTTCCACACATACTGCTAAATCAGACCAAGCAATTTCACCCAGCTAGCCACGCACATCCAAAACAACCCTTAAGCTTCTGAGAAGGACTTAACTGATGTGAAGCGACTGATCATGTCATACGCCCACTTGGGCTGGTCATATGGGACCATGTGACCTGCATTCCGGATCATCACCTGAACGAACCCAGGGATTTCTCGCACATACCCAGCCACATCATCGTCCACACGCCATATGTACCGCTGCGAGCTCTTGAACTCCTCACTACGTTCCCACTTAAGGGTCTTAAGGAAGTTCTCGGTCAGGGTGTAGGCTATGATGATGTCCAGTTGCCCATTGTATATCAGCACGTTATAGTTATCCAACAACTGCAGAAGTGAAGGTCAGGGGTCAATTATGCTCAGTAAATACCTTGGATGCAAATATTACAGCATACATCTTCAGTATTTAAAGCTTAAACACACCAGTAGTAATTTCTAAAACAGTAATAAGAAAAATAAAATAATAATAATAATCTACATCAACACACTACCAAAATTCCTTCCTACCTCTTCAATCCAAGGCTTCACACTCTTCATGATGTCCTCCAAGAGGTGAGTCTCCACCTCAGAGCCGTCATGGAATGTCAGATTACCAACGTGAATGGCCCTTCGCACACCAGGTCGGTTGATGTACTGCTCCCAGTAACTCATGTCCTACAAAAAGATGCAACTTCTGTGATTTAAAAGTTGATTTTACTTGATAGACTGAAGCATTTTTAGCATTAAGAAATTGCAGAGCAACATATAAAAATTAGGAAAACAATACCTCCATTGGAAAAATCAATTATTAATTTTTTGTACTTTCATAAATAAAAATTATAACCCGTATCCTTTTCTAGCTATTAGCTTTGTCTATTAATCTATATTACATTTCTCTTACACTTCATAATGCTCCAGAGCCTGCATTTTCAAAAGCCATTTTAGCAAAAACATACACAAATATGAAAATAAATTCAGAGACAACAGTATCGCAAATGGGAGCATTAGCATTAAATTATGAACGTCTTGAACGACTGCCATTAATTCTGTTCTCTATGTCACGCAGATCATACCTTAGGTTCCCCCTGTGCTAGGAAGTTGAAGTAGTTGGTAAGTCCAGTCACATTGGTGAAGTAAGACGGACCTTCTGTTTTGTCGCCATTCAGAAGACTGTCGAACACCTGTTAGGGAAATATCAAACCAATTCTTCACTGATAACTTTTATACAGTACTGCATCTTTTTATTTTTTGGGACAGAACATAAAATGGGAATGCTAAAAAATTATTTAAGGCACGAAAAGATGTACTGATTGCACTGGTGATGGTGATTACGATGATGACGACGTCAAGGTCCAAGTCAACGTCGACGATGATGCATTAGGCATCTATATCCCAATCAATAATAATAATAAAAAAAAATTTAAAAAATTAAAAAAAAAAAAAAAAAAAAACACAAACCCTTCACTAGAAAATCTTAATAACAACAACCATAATAAAAACCAATCGATCAATCAGTCTACGCGGTCGCCACTACCTCAAAGGCCTTGATCCACTCCTGCTGGTTAATAAAGTCCACCGCCTTGGCACTCTCCTGCTTGAAGTAGATGAGGTCCAAGTCATCGATGAGGCCGACCTGGTACAAGAAGTCCCCGTAATCGACCATTGACACAGGGTCGCAGAGGCCGTCGCCAATAGCCATACCTGCGAAAATTGGACAAAGGTTTTAAACACATGATCATTATGTCAAATAAAAACATCAATATCAACAGTATTAGAAAAAAAAGTAAATTCTTTTTTCTGACAACTCAAGGAATGGGGAAATCGGCTGAGGATGCGGTAGGCTTATTTTTTGTTGTCTGGTGATTACCCAGACAACAATGGGGTAATGACTGTTTGTGCATAGATCCCACAAGAAAATGGATATTTCGGGAAAATCTTTATTTTCATTATTATTGTTATTGCATATAACAATATTAAAAATTTCAATGGTGATGGTGAGGGAAAAGGAGAGTGAGAGGGTGAAGGAGAGGCAGAGGCAGAGGGAAAGGGAGATGATAGAAATGAAGATGGAGATGATAAGGTTATTGATGAAAATAATAGGTGATGATAATGAAATAAAATTGCTGGTTAAAATACTCCTATCACTTTCCAAAATCAAGATACCCTCAGCTTACGCAAAATCATAATATTTACTCCAATGTATCAATAATATCATCTTGCTCATAGTACAGAAAATGTATATATAAATACACACCAGTTTCTTCAAAAGTTACCCATCATTTGAGCCAATATATCAAAATTAATCTTAATATAAATACAAAACATATGCACAATTCTTCCCGTTAATCATTATTTCTCAATATCAACAAACCTTTTGCTAATCCGCAACTGAAAAGAATACCTTATACTCACCTTTCAAGTTAATTTTGATTTTTGCCGTTGGGTTCTCCTTATGAATGGTGTACGTTAAAGCTGGAACATACTTCCCTGTAAATTTAAATATATACATGTATGAAAACACTAATAATGGTGCTCATAACAAAGAACAGTCACACAGTTTAACCTCATATCTGTTATTTTGTTCTTTTCACGACCTAGCATCATAAAAAATCAAAACACTAATTCTACAAAAAAAAATAAATCAAGGGCTAATGACAGCTCACATACTTATCAATCAGTCACTATTCTCCCACATACCAGCATATGATTCTCCAGTAACAAAGAAGCTATTCCGTTGCAATTCTGGGAAGAGGGTGAAAAACTGCAAAACTGCTGCGTACAGATCACGGCCAACGTCTGTCTGGTTCCTGGCATAGCCTGCATCGTTTTCTGTGAAGCTGAACCCTGGAAATTAAATAAAAACGTTGAAAATTACATAACACATAATCATGCCATAGCATTAGGATCATGTAAAAATTTATAAAGACGAGTCATAGGAATATACATCTTACATCTTATATGCTCTGTATCTTCACCTACAACACAAATGAGATTAACCATAATACCAAATGCAGTTACTACTGACACGTCAAACAAATCATCTTAAAATAACAGGAGAGGAGAGGAGGAGGAGGAGGGAGGAGGGAGGAGGAGGAGGAGGAGGAGGAGGGAGGAGGAGGAGGAGGAGGAGGAGGAGGAAGGAGGAAGAGGAGGAGAGGAGGAGGAAGAGGAGGAGGAAGAGGAGGAGGAAGAGGAGGAGGAGGAGAGGAGGAGGAGAGGAGGAGGAGGAGGAGGAGGAGGAGGAGGAGGAGGAGGAGGAGGAGCAGAGAAGAGGAGAAGAGGAGGAAGAAGAGAAGGAAGAAGAGAGGAAGAGAAGGAAGAGAAGGAAGAAGAGAAGAAGAAGAGAAGGAAGAGGAAAAGGAAAGAGAAGGAAGAGGAGAGGAGGAGAGGACAGCAGAGGAGGAGGAGGAGAGTGTGGGGATGGGTAAAGGGGAAGGGAAAGGGAAAGGAGGGGAAAGGGTGGGGAAGGGGAGGAGGAAGAGGACGAGGATGAGAAAGAGGAGAAGGAGGTGAAAGAGGCAAAATAGGAAGAGGAAGAAGAACAGAAAGGAGGAGGAAGAGGAGGGGAAAGAAGAGAGAGGGGAGGAGGAGGAGGAGAGAGGAACAGACAGAAGAGGAAAAGGCAGATAAAGAAGAAGAGGAAGAGGATGAGGCAGATGAAGAGGAGGAAGAGTAAGAAAACAAGGGAAAAAGAAAAGGGAAATGAAAAAGAATTAAAAAAAATAAATAAATAAATAAAAATAAAAAATAAAAAACCCATACCTGTCCCAACGGGGTTGTCAATATAGAGGACATTGTGGGTCTTCGTCCAGGGATACTTGCGGGGAACGATGTGAAGGTCCTGGTCAATGGTGAATGGTCCGTGTTCGGCAAAGAGTCCGAAGAGGGACGAGCCACCCGGCCCTCCTTGAAGCCACACCAAGACTGGCGCATTTTCTGGCTTGGACTGGAATGGAGGAAGTAGAGTCATTTCCGCCAAGTCTAAATCCCATAATCTGCATACAAGGAATTCTAGAAATCCTCTCTTGCCCTAGCCTGGTGCAGGTAGTGCAAAAAATGCATCAATACTAAAGAGACAATATTGTTAAGAATAATAACAAAAGCAATGATAAATTTCATAAGATCAGCTAAAACATGGATAACAACTGACCACAGAAACAACACCCACAAAAAACAAAATTGGAAAAATCACCCCTTTTGCAGGTGGTATATAAAAAAATGAATCTGCTAAACACTCTTCCTTCATTATCTGAGGTTTATTCCATATAATGCATTCGAAAGGCCTGAAGAAAAGAAAATTCACAAACCAAGCCTAAACCTGTTCTTTATCGGTGAGGAGCAACTATCTACAAAGAAGTTCAACATGCTGTAAAAAAAATCTACAAAGAACAAAAATGATAGACATTATATAACTAATTTGAAGAACCATAGAAATCTAGGGGTTATCGACAGACAAAAAAATCTAAAACTCTCACAAAGGAGTTCAAAATACAAAAAAAAATCTACAAAGAACAAAAATGATAGACATTATATATCTACATCAAAGAAGCAAAGAATTTTTAGGGGTTATCGACAGAGAAAAATAAACCAAGACCCTCACAAAGTAGTTCAATATACTAAAAAAAATCTACAAAGAAAAAAAATGATAGACATTATATATCTATATTGCAGAACCAAAGAAATCTAATCTAAGACCCTTTAAATGGGAAAATAAAAATAGAGAAGTAATAGAATAATAGCCACATCAACAATCACAATATAAAAATGGTAAATTTGAAAATAAAATCAGATTTAACAAATGCTTTCATTAGTCTTCTCAGAATGGGATTCTTTTAAATATCACACAATATCACCTAAAAGAAACGTTAGTAGCCCCAAACCAAAGCCAAGAGAAAAAGCTGATAAACATTCAAAGGGAAAGATCAAAATAATCATACTTATCAACTTACTCTCGAAGGGAAGAACCAGAAGAAGAGGTTGGAGTTGTACTCTTTGTTGACGGTGAAATAGCCTGAGAAACTGTGCCCGTGGCGATGGCCCATGCTAACACGACTTAACGACCTTGCTTCCTGTTGACAATAAAATATGAATTATATGATTTACTATTTCATTTTCTCATTCATTTGATATGTCCTTTTGATGCAATTAATTTTACTCTTTTATATTTTATTCTACCAGGATCTTACATTATGTTTACTTCATCTAACTGGCATACATTCTTACAGGATATTTTGAATCTATTTTGTTTTCCTATCATTGTGCACTTTAACTTACTTCCTTTGCATATACTAAGAAGGTTAAAAAGTAACAGAGATGAAAAAATAACATACATAAACATAGGCATGCCTACCACATGCCACTTCTCATGCACAAAATTACCTTAACTTTCCCAGCTTCCAAAAGGGGGGTAAGGAAGAGGGGTTTCCCAGCATCTTCCCATTCTTCTGCTGGAATTGTAAGGTCACCACCACTCGATAAAAACTTCCGGAAAGGTCCTCGCCATGCAGCTGTGACAGCCGAAAGGGCTAGTAACACCACAAAGCACTTCATTCTTACTCAGTGATGACAGTTTGTTAATGCATTACCTGTTTGGAGAGGAGGAAGGAGAAATGCTAATTTTTATTAATGAAATTGTTGTCTATTTTAAAGGCAACTTATGAATTTTCAGTCATCTTTGAAGAGCAAAATCCCTGGTATATATACATAATGAGTAAATAAAGTGATATTATTCTAAAAATATGTTAACAAGAAGCTTGTATGTCAGGGCTCGTTTGTCACCAACAGCTTATATGCCACACCGACTCATCCGCCGTCACCCTACACCCAGAGGCCTACCCTATATACCACCTACTGTCATAGCTAAGTATCATACCTGCGCATTAATCAGTAATAAATCAGTACACCCTAAATAGAGATAAAGTCCCAAAACCCGAGTATCATGCGAACCCAAGACTCCAAGCCTAACCTCTCCAACTGTCTCATTATTTCCTAGATGAAAGACAAGCCCCATCTATGTCCTCCCATTCATTAGCACTTCCTGCCAACTTCTAGAAAACAGAACTCTGGCTGTGTGAGGGTGTTATGTACTTAGTCTCAAAGTGGTGATATGCAGGGGATATTTTCGTCCTTCCATGGTAAATATGAGGCCGCAGCAGCTGTACCTGTGTTGCATATGTTGTCTACGACTATTACTTATACTCTATAAGATGGAAGTGTCCATTTCCCTCTATCTCTGTCCATTGCTCTTGGTAACATAAACCCCAACACAAAATACAAACCCTGGTGCATTTTATGAGGTAAAAGATAAACAGTTCACATAATGGATATAAAAACAAAATCGGAAATACCTTTCACATAAGATATTCTTTTTTCAAGTTGATAAAAAAATAAATAAAAACAAAAAGGATATTCAATACGCGTCTTGAAAACGGATAAAACTAAGTATTGATTACTTAACTACATTTTCCCATATACTCCCATCTAAAATAATGTAGTAATGCCTCGCTATACTAAAGGACGAACGAGTCTTACCCTCTTCCACTGACATGCAGCAAGGCAAGACACAACACTGCTTCCTATTCCCAAAGAACCAAAAGGACCCCCACTTCACGCATACCAACAAAGACCGAAACGAAAACAAAAGAAATTACGTAAAATAAAATAACCTCTTAATTTCCAACCATCCTGCAATAACCACAACCCCTTATTAAAGCCCCATCACTCGCCAAGTAACCAATAACTCCCCAAATCACGAAATTACAGCGAAAAAACGGGGAGAAAGGGGGATATATGTTACCGGTCGAGGCGAAGGTTATCTCCGAGTGACACTGAGTAAACATCCGCTCGGTTACAACGGCAAAACAATGACAAACAGTATCACGTGCTGTTGACTCTATATTCAAAAACAAATTATGATAATAACTGATAATGAACAGTAAACTTTGGTCTAAAATCCTATAAAAGAAGAAAGAAGAAGAATAGGAAAGTAAAATTAATATTCAAAATTGTAAAACAATGACAAACAGTATCACGTGCTGTTGACTCTATATTTAAAACAAATTATGATAATAACTGATTAATGAATAGTAAACTTTGGTCTAAAATCCTATAAAAGAAGAAAGAAAAAGAATAGGAAAGTAAAATTAATATTCAAAACTGTAAAACAATGACAAACATTATCACGTGCTGTTGACTCTATATTTAAGATAATTACTGATAAATGAACAGTAAACTTTGGTCTAAAATCCTATAAAAGAAGAAAGAAGAAGAATAGGAAAGTAAAATTAATATTCAAAACTGTAAAACAATGACAAACATTATCACGTGCTGTTGACTCTGTATTGAAAAAATAACTGATAAATGATTATGTAAAGTTTAGTCTAAACCCTAGAAGAACAGGAAAGTGGAAGAAAGAAGAATAGGAAAACAGAAGAAAGAAGAACAGGAAAGTAAAAGAAAGAAGAAGAATAGGAAAGTAGAATTAATATTAATGATTGTAACGATGAGTGTATTGGTGATAATATCGATATCAATGTCACCGTTATCACTATCAGCATTAAATAAAAAGAAGAAAGAAGGAGAAAGAGAAAGGAAAACTAATAATCATGATTGTGAGTAAACATCCGTTTGACTGCATTGAAGATAAAAACTGATAAATAAATAGTAGAGTTTGGTCTAAAACCCTATAAAAGAAGAAAGAAAAAGAATAGGAAAGTAAAACTAAGATTCATAATTGAGAGTAAAGCTCCGCTCGGTTACAACAGTAAGACAATGACAGACATTATCACGTGCTGTTGACTCTGTATTGAAAAAAACAAACAAACTGATAATTGCATAGTGAAGTTTGGTCTGAATCCCTATAAAAAGAAAGAAGAAGAAAAGGAAAGTAAAATTAATATTCTTCTTTCTTCTATTATAGGGTTTTAGACATTTGTGTAGTCAATACCCCCTCGATCCATTTTCTTTTATATTCTTTCTTTTAAATGATCTGCACCTGTGAATAATGTCTATATTAGGGTTGTATATTTTTATTTTTCTTAGAGCTTCTTTTAGGTTCGTTCTGCTGGAATGAAATCGTGGACATTGTGTAGTGATGTACTGTACCCGAAATCCCGCCAGTGGTCAAAATGCCTTAGTCTCCCATCTCCGCTGCGACGGGAAGAGAATGACAAGAGATGGCGCCACCCGCGACGGACCTGCGGCTTACTTCCTCCTTGAAAGATTTATTATAAAATACCTGCTATTATTCTTTATGTGGTTCGGCATCAGACTCAAATTTGAAAGGATTGAATACTGTGCAGAGTGTATGTGTCTTGGAGCCCTCAAATGCTCAAGTCTTGAGGTGGAGTCAGGAGTACCTCCCCTCCAACTGACCTCAGCCGTAAAGGTGGCTTGAGACCCGAGCCACCCTAATGGTAATGGTGCCATTAGGCCCTTTACCGCAAGACTCCACGACCTCATCCAAAAAGTAGGTATAGATCTCTCTACCATCGATACCCTGGTTCAAACAAATATAGCGCCATGGGAAACGCCCAATTTTTACCATCATGGAAGCTTGGCTTCCATCGACCAAGGCCATGGCGCCGGAGGTGGAGGTACGCCAGGGGTTCAGAGAGATCCTTATTAAACATCTACTTTTTCATATATATATACCGACGGCTCCAAGACCGAGGAAGTTGTGGGTGCGGGTGTATGGTCGACTGAATGTGAATTGAGATTCAGATTGCCGAATCATACATCGATCTTTATTGCCGAACTTTTTGCTATTGACAAAGCTATTGATTTTGCACTATCGACGACCCACGACAGAATAGTCATTTTTTCTGATTCGTTAAGTTCACTTGGTAATTTTCTATATTACGTCCGCATAACCGATATTGACGATTTTGGTATTGTTGGATTCCTCTCACTCTATACAATGCAAATATGTAGGTTTTATTGCGCGGAAACCCCCCGTTAGCGACAAACTTGGCCCCGATAGTGGGGGCGACGATGTAGGAGCGGCGGACGTAATATATAAAATTACCCTAATAATATAATCTCAGTGAAAATAACCATGGCTATTCACATGACTTTCCATTGCAGGGGGCTGCCGCCCCCCAACCCCCACCAAGGAAACAAAACCTCCACCACGTATTCACGGCAGGATAGTGCACACGAACTATATGCGGAGCCGAAAACCTACAATAACCTAGGATTTTTAAGGTACTAACCAGATTGAGGTAGAGGTTGAAGACCGCGACGCGCGTAGATAGAGGAAAATGGACACCGCCATCTTATAGAGCGGGAAAAATAGAAGGGGATAGCGTATAGTTTAAGATGCACCAGCCTTATAGTCACCGCTAAATGAGGAAAATATAACGCGCGGCCGCCTTTCAAATTCAAAGTCGATGAGCTTGTTTACCTTGCGAGGAAAAACAAGACACTGACCCACGAACGCATTTTTGCGTTCGCGAACTAGTCCGTGTATCATTACGCGCTTGTCAAAGCGATATTTGGCTAATTATCTGTCTGCTGGTACGCATTTATACCTTTAAAGTCTTTTAGTAATGTTATTTTACTTCAATTGCATATTTTTATATTTATCTATACCCTCATATCGAATCCTGCGCATCGAGTGTTTCACACTTTCTTGCGCCAGCCACAGGTTGACAGCTCACCAACCCGCTCATTTCGAGATTGAAAGCCGGTGAGAAATGTTGCGTTTCCAGTGTTGTGTTTGATTCTGGGTTCTTTTTTAAGACCTTTACAGTGGCATCGAAGAATAATTCGACTTCAGTAACCATCCCAGTTTTATATCTGAGCCCATCAAGAGCTCCAAAGGACGAAAAAGGTGATTAAAATCGAAGCAATCCCAACAGTACAAAGAAACGAAAGTTTCACGTTTCCGGATATAAAGGTATTTGGTTTATTATTTTACGTGTGAATGCAGCTCTGTCTTGCCGTACATACCGTGGTGGAGAGAATGTGTCCTGGGGGGTGTTGGGGGCTTGCCCCCCATCAACCCTCCCCTCGGGCAGTGCCCGAAGGGCACGCCTAGTCACGGCAATAAATATTGATATATTAGGTTGGTTGGTTTATTGGTCAATACGTTTTTGGGGGTTGGAACGTGTGATTTCCCGTAGATTTTTTTTTTTGCCGAAATGTGGGTTGGGTTCCCGTAGTTTTTTTTATTTATTTCGCGTCAGTCCGTAAACTTTCAAAGATGGCGGTTACATCCGTAGAGTTTCATTGGCCAATTTTAAGCGCTTTTTGTGCTAGTTTTACGCATTTTTGATCGTTATTCTTCTTATTTAAGCTTGTTTTACCCCATAATTTCCCTGATATACTTCATGCCCTCCCCTGCTAACGGGACTATCAAATCAAGATCGTCGATGGAGAAATGGTACTCGATCTCCTGAACGATTCATTCGCAAAAGAAACAAGGCCGAAAATCGATGAAATCATAGGATTTCATGCAGAAAAACATCATTTTTTTTTCGACTTAGTCTCTGCGAGGGTGCGTCGCGGTCTTCAACAATTACCTACGAGGTAATTGTATTACGCCTACCCTCGTGAGGTTTGTGTTTTACCCTTGGTGAGGGTTGGGGGCGGTAGCCTCCCCCCAGGAGGTGTTTTGTGTCTCTTATAAAAGCAAAAATCCATCTCTTGTGGCAAAGTGAGTGGACCGACCTGTAACTGACCAACAAAGTCAGACAGGAACACCTCACTCCCTACATAGAAAGAACCTTCCCTCCACAATGCCCAGACTGCAACACCAGCATCACAATGTCACTTGCTAATTTCATGCCAAAAATATAGTCATAATAGACAACACTTAATAAATTATTTCCGAATTAAAAATAAAGAATTTGCCTTTTAAAAATTTACTAACAAACGATGAAAAAATAATACATAAAGTAATCGCTTTTCTAAGGGAGACAAAGCTTTGACCTTATTTAGATTGAAAGATTAAAAATAGGATCCATTGGCTTAATAACCTTGGCCATATGCCGCTGGTTGATAGCCAAGAAATCCAACAAAAGTAAAAAAATAAAATAAATAAAAAGTTATTCGCCAGCAGACTTGCTTCTGAGCACTCAGCTCTTTTATAACCGAACTGCCCTCAGCAATATCCCTTTGGGCTGTTGTTGAATTTTATATTTTTTTATTTGTTGCATTTTATTTTGCACATTTTATCGAGGTTTCCATGGGTAGTGGGTATGGTCAATCATGGCCAGGCCAGAGAAAGAACACTTTTCGATGTGGAAAGAAGGGAGACATTTTGAAGATAAATAAAACATAATATAAAATGAGCTTTCTTGTCTTTTTCTTTGTTATTCAAATAATTAATTACCAATCGATTAATCTGATCATGACAGTGTATATATACACTTGCCTGAATCTAGCCACGCCGGCTCGGCATAATTCCCTTTATTAGCATGCTAACGCTACCACAGAGATTGAACATTAAATTAATAAAGGAATATCATGGGGCAGATAAGGATAAAAAAAAAAAAATTCAAGAGTAAAATTATCACTACAATTGGAATATGTGTTCTATATTTTCTTCGTTATGACGACAATCTACAGAGTGGGCCATTTATTATTTTCATTCTATGTAGGTGCTGGTTTAATCTTGTGCGTGTGGTTTTTATTCTTGTTATGCATCTAGTTTTCGGTTTTTAGATCTTGTCCATGGCTGAGGTTCTGTGTTTTTCAAAAGATAATTATTTGCGTTAAGGATTGTGTTTAGTTGTCTTTTCCAGTTGTTTTGATTTTTTATTCCTCTGTTAATCTTTTTTTTTTTTTTTTCCTCATATAGTTATGGATTTTATACTGTTTTTTTTTTTTTATTTTATTATTATTATTATTATTATTATTTTTTTTTTTTTCTTCCTGATCAACTATTTCATTACCTTTCAAGT